CTGTAAATACTGAAGACAGAAGCCATGCAGAACTGTTAGAGGAATGTAAAATTATTGTACAGTTCCTTTATTTTAACTCTTATCTAACAGGCTGCACAACATGAAAGAATTAAGTGATAAACTTGTTTTAATGTTTACATGTGAAAAAAAAGGTGAATTTGTCCTGTTAAAATACTTGGTATATCTTTAAGTGTGCAACACTTTAGTGTCATTTGAACATTTGATATGGAAACCTTGTTGAATTCATAAAAAAAGTCCTAAAAATCATACAAGTGTCTTTAATGGTGTGTATATTCAGCATTTTTTGTGGCTTGCATGAAGAGAACGTCATGCAAAATCCACATATCATCCTCATCAGATGTAAGCAGATCTTACTGCGGTTTCTGCTGGGCGGATCTCTTGTTAACAGGAAAAATGCTGCGCTACAAATCAGGTTTTTGCAGAAAAGGTTCACTCTTGCACCAAATAAACTTGTCCACTAGAGGGCGGAATTTAGTTAACTTAATTGCGTAGAATGGCGGACGCTTAAGTTCAGTGTTTATGTTACGGAACGAATACTGGATAAAAGAAGGTAACGCAACCCGATATATAGAGCCGTAGCAAATAAATTTAACCTTAACAGGAAGCAATTGCTTTTCTTCATCAAGTATGACATTTTGACAAGTTTAGTTTAGCATTTTATTGGTTTATGTGAAGTTTGAATAGCTAACTTGACACGATGTATCTCTGCTTCACCACATATTAGCTCTAGTTCAACAGCTGGACTCAATAAATTATAATTTCTAATTTATTGAGATAGTATTCTCAATAAATTAGAATATTTAAAAAATGGTTTCATTTATTAAATGGAAAAGTAAAACAAATGAATTGCGTGTTGTTTTTCGTTAGTTTTGATTACGCTAGCTTACATTGTTAGGAAAACCTAAATTTAATTTCTCAGAAAATTAGACGACCAACAAAATATATTTTACACAAATGTGTCATTAACAAAATATGGAAGGTAAGTGGTAAGCCACTAAAGGTCATTGCTTAAAAAGAAAGAAAAAAACGGGGGGAGGGGAAGCTGGAAATGAAGGAAGAAAATTAATGGAAAAGTTGCACAATTAACAGGAATAACCCGCATCCTTTAAGATTTTTGACGCCAAGCCTTATCAAGAGATTTTGTTAGATCTGAATTGGTCTGGCTGGAATCAGACTTAAGGAACCATAGATGTAACCAGGACATGAGCTACTATTATATTCCTTGTATTAAGCCAATTCTGATCCAGAGACGATATCATAACCATCTTAGGCTAAGGAGGAGGGGATGGTCTGTTGCTTAGTTTTCAACCTCCACTTTGAGTAGTCAAACAGTTTTATTTTGAAATCAAATTTCAAAGGGAACCTCAATCAGATATTCAGTGCATAAACTGTACAATGCATGATGCTTTTCAATGCATCTCAATGTTTTACTATGTTAGCTGTAAGCCTTACTCGTCAAAGTTAGCAGAAATAATTGCTTGAAATATAACAAACACAGTGACGTCTCTTTAACACGAGTTTTGCTTTTTAAATGGAATGACTAAAAGTGACTTTTTATAGAAAAATTTGTTTTTTGAAGTATTCCTTTAAATATATGAATCCATTCTTATTTTAATAAGTGCATGTCCACATGGTGTCACTGTAACATCGGACAGTGTTGTTGGGACGTTTATCTTCAAAAACCAAAGATAGTTAATTCATGTTTTTGGTCAAAATGCCACCAGCTTGAAAGTAGATATTGAGATCCTGTGTATCTGGAAGTGCTAGGGTTGGTTGTGTCAAAATCTGGAGAGTTGGACCAGTGTGAAAATGAGTTGTAGTCAATGTTGGTTTTAGTTCTTTTAGGCAGTAAGATTCATTTTGGTACAAGTAAATGGAGCTTAGTCAAAAAGTGACATGATTTTCTGCTCTTGTAGGCTGTGAGTATTTCTCCTTTTAAGGATCACCTCTCTGATTAAAACACATTTAAAATTAATCCTCTAACCATTAATTGGCAAACCAAGACATGAGCTTGTTTGTTAGAAAACTGTTTTAACTATCGTCTCCTGCCTCTGTTTTGAATTTTCTTATCTCCCCAAGACACACTCCACCAACACGGCAGGCCTCTCCTCCTTCCCTGCCCCCAGCCTCAGACCGGAGCTGTTGACCTCGTAACACACACACACACACACACACACAGCCATATGTTACGGCCAGGACGAACCTCTACGCTGTAATTAGGGGGATGGTGCCGGACACTGTGCTGAGGTTAAGCAGAGTGACTCATCCTCTCCTTGAGCATCACCAGACGATTTGCTCAAATTTGCAGGTATGTTGTTCCTTTCGGTGCCGTGCTGGATGATGATGGGGATGGAAAACAACGGGGTTAAACTCCTGTAATCTCATTGCTGCTAAGCAGGTTGAGTGTTGTGATGATCTCAAACCGCACTGGCCTCACGCTTAGGACATACACAGAGGCCTTTATAAATAAACACAGCGTCACACAGATGCCCACACTCCCACTTTCACCTTTGCCCCTGCAGCTTTTGTGTCTTTATCTCTTGTGTGCAGAAACATCAGTTTTGGAGCATGTAGGTGGTCTTGACACTACAAGCCAGACCTTTCTGCAAAATTAATCAAACTCAGTTTAGATATGCAGAGTTGTGGAAAATGTATTTACACCCATAAAGATTTATTCTTTTTTTTTTCACTTAAATGTTTCAGATTATTGCATAAATTTTAATGAGACATATATATTTGACTGCTGTTTTGATGGTCGTCTTCTCGAAAGCTGTTTCACACCAGATGTTTTCCTACAAATCCTGGGATCAAGATGGCTTTCGACTACCATGAGTGAGGGATTTTTTTTTTGTTGTTGTTGTTTTTGCTTTGTTAAGATCCCAAAACTCTCCCATGGATGCCATTTTTTTTGCTCAGTCATTTTCTGATGGTTGCATCATGAGCCTTATGAGTGAAGAGAGGTCTGCCGTGCTTTAGACGTTTTGGGTTCTGCAGTGGATAATTGTTCTCTCTGCGGTTTGTTGAAGCCTGACGCCTTAGAAACGTCTTTTTAACCACTTCCAGACTAAATGACTTCAAAAGACTTTATCTATTCTTGAATGTCTTTAGATTAGGACATGATGTGACACTTTCTGAGATTTCTTAACCCACTTCATCTTGTTAGACATTTAAGAGATTTCTTGATTTTACAGTTCAGTTCTAATGGCCTTAAGTAAATTTTAACTAATCTCTCCAAAAAATGTTAGTAAATGTTATAAGATGTGATTCCTTTTTAAAAAAGGGTTTGATTGGGTTATGTGTAACCAAGGTTTCCCCCAGAAAACTTTCTAAGCCTGGTGGTTGGGCTCCAGGGCAGGCATTCATCCAGCTGTCTGTCATGTTTTTGAATTAAAAATGTTTAAAGTTGACAGGAAATTTGAAAATACCACTTGATAATTATGTGTTATTGAAAGACTGTTAGATTAATACCTGAACACCAACTATAAAGTCTTAAAAAATGCAAACATGAAAACAAAATTTAAAGTAAGCAATGCTTCGCCTCGTGGGGGCATAAGTAAAGCCTGGTGGCCCGCCAGGCTTATAATACACTGGGGAAAAACCCTGTATGATATTTTCCCCTTAAGAAGATCACTTATGGTTCTAAGGTACTATCCTTTCTCAGAAATTGAGATGGTCTCCACATGTAAACTTTCTTTGGCAACTCAGGAAGTGCAACCTGCCACAGGAGCGCTTATCTGGTCTATCTTTTACACGTCCGTCATTGTGTGATGCTAAGCAACAAAGCATAACAGGCCCAAACAGCAAAATATAGTCAGGTCTGTGGAAGAGATCATCAGATCAGGGGAAAGGCAGCAGACCCCACACATCCTGGACACAAACTGTTTATATTTTGTTGGTCAGGTCCAGAAACCACAGAGTGGGCTTCTTCTCCCCACATAGGTTTTTTTTTGGTTGTTCAGGTTGCATTAATATGACCTTCTTTTGTGAAAAACACTGCATATACACATACTTACATAAAAATCTATTATTTCATATCATATTTTTGATATTTAGATTAAAAATGTGGATCAATTTCCTTGTTTGTTTGCTTTATACTTTTTAGTTTATTACTATTATAAATTGTGAAGTACTTATTACTTAAACCAACATTTAGCTTTATACTTTTAATATCTGAGCAAGGCCTAGAGAAACGTCTGTTAGTTTATAACTTAGCAACCCAGAACAAGGATCAAACATGGAGAACCAACATTTAGCTTTATTCAAATCTAGAACTCAACCCAGAACAACTGGAACCAACATCTAGTTTTTTTTTTACCTCTCTAATCCAAACTTTAGATCCAGAGATACCTCTACCAGTTTTTAAATTATTCTTATTCTTATTAAACATGGGGAACCAATATGTAGTTTTATACTTTTCCCGTTTCCTCTTTCTTTTGGTTTTGTTGTTTCGTTTGTATTTTCTTCTTATTCATGTGAAGCACTTTGAGCTGCTTGTTGCTGAAAACGTGCTATAAAAATAAAATTGTCTTACTATGAGCAGCTATTTTCTTCCAGTGCGCTTTTATGTTTAAGTGTTGTGGAGTCCTTTAGAAATACGTCCCTCATCACCCAGCTCGGTTTTTATTCCCGAATTGTCTTAGGGGACCGTATAGCATCTTTAAAAGAGTTCTCCACAAATGGGAGTAAATGAGCAGCAGTAGTTATTTCGGCATATTGCGTCAGCATCCAACATCCCACCACGTTGCTTTTTGTCATCTTGTGTTGTTGTTTAAGCCTATTGAGCATGTGCTTCTGCAAATGTTTAAAGTGACCCTCTTTGCACGTCGGTGTCGGCCCTCCTCTCTGCCGCTGCGGTCTGTCCGTCTCTCCGACAAGGAGACGAGGAGGAGGGCAGGAGGGAGAGAAAAAGGGAGGGAGCCAGAGAAAGAGGGGGGACGGCTTTGCTATGATGTGAATGGAGCGCAAGAAGGGAGAGAAAGAGGGAGGGAGGGCAGCACAAATCAACCTGCCTCTTCTTGACTTCAGCAAACAGCACAGAGGAGCTCGCCTGTAGGCGCGGGGATCGGGAAGTGTGTGTGCGTGTGTGTGTGTGTGTGCGCTGAGAGCTATTTCGCGATTCTTCTTTCTTTTCTTTTTTTCCTTTTTGGTTTAGAGGAAGGGAGGACAGCCCTGGGGAGGAACCGCGGCGGCAGGAGCTCCCTCACCGTGGAGATAGATAGCAGAAAAATGCTGTCATGGGGAGAGAAGGAGAGCGAGTCGGCAGAGAGGAACAGGATGGAACAAGGCAGGGTCGAGCAGGACTGAAATGTGGAGGTAAGCCTCGTCTTTCTGCGCTCCCGGCCCGCCTGCGTCCTCTTTGTGCTGATAATGAATCTGGACGGATGGGACCGTGTTTCCTCTGTATCGGCACGCGTGTACTCTTCCAGGCTCCCCATCCATTCAGAGACAATGTAGGGGATACGAAATAACGAGCAGGCATCCTCCCCCCTCTGCCTCATGCCCTTTGTGTTTCTGTCACCTCCCTGGAAATCACGTTCTCCTCAGTTAGAAACGCATCAAACCTTAAAAATTCACTCACGACATTGGACATTTGAAAGCGCCTCACAACCTTTGTCGCATTTCATCCCAGGCCTGCCCTCCTCTCCTCCTCTTCCGACACTAATACACCCCCCCCATCTCCTTCTTTATCATCTACCCCTTCACACACACAAACACGCCGTCATCTATCCTGTCTCCCTCCATTGTGTGCCCTCCAACGAGGCGATTGTCTTAAAAACCAGTGTTATGACATTGTCAAGAAGGCGCCACGAAACCTTGAGCGCTTCTGGCTGCAGGACTTAGAGATGAGGGGCAAGGTGGAGGGAGGAGGGGGGAGGATGGATGGATGGATGGATGGATTGGGGGTTGGGGGGGCACTTAGAGAATGAAAGATGCAGGGATAACAAAGAGAGCATCCATATGTTTCATGTTTTCAAATCCTGCTCCGACAGTCTGGAATGATTTGCAGAGACAATGATGGAAGGGAGACGCGCAACCTGGACCGGGGTGTTGTTTTCAAGGTGGCAGAGAAAATGAGGGATGCAGGAGTCAGGCTCCTCATCCTTGACTGATTTAAACATGGGGCTGTGCGTCAGGGATACGGGGTCCTTACAGAGGCTGCAAAAAGAAAAGCTGAGCGGCAGGAAGGCAGGCAGGCAGCAGCAGTGGCAGCTTATGTAAGCCAGTGCACTCAAAGGATGGGCCATTTCATTTACATTGAGCATCATGACTCCTTGTCCAGGCTGGTGTTCGCTGTGGTTGGTGTCAACATGTTGAGGGATAAAATGCAGCTGGAGCTGACAGAAAGGGAAGGATTTATTCTTTTTTTTTTCTTTTCACCGACTTTAACTTGAACAATCCACCTTGTCGTTCTCCTCCTGCAGATGCTCACCCTAACAAATATTTCAGCGTGAAGTGCATGATGGTGCTCAAACAACACAGCCTGACCTTTAAATTTTGCTGCTGATGACATTTATATTTCTGCCTTCCTCTTTACATCAAACCTAAAGAACAGTAACATTTCCCTGTCTTGTAAATATATTCATACCTCTGAATTTGTTTCACGATTTGCTGCATTACAGCCACAAATTTTGATGTGTTTCGCTGGGATTTTATGACAAACATCTCTGTTCAGTCCATCATTCAGAAATAAAATAACTGATTCAGCTTGGTCAAGTGTTAGTTCATTAGAGAATCAGCCAACAAACCCAGAAGGAGCAGAGATCTAAGATATTCTGGAGAAATTGTTGACAGGATGATGATTGCTTGTGTACCTCACAAATCTGCCCCCCTCTATCAAAGTGGGGCAAGTAGGAAGCCTTTATAAGTCAAATTTGCAGTTTCCCCACTGCACATATTTCCAAAAACCATGCATCTTTTTTTTTTCCCCAGTTGTGTTGCTGTGTAAAATAAAATGTGTAAATTTTTCTGGTGACAAATTAAAAAGTTCACAGGGTTGAATATTTTTGTTTCACTCACCAAACAGATTCAAGTTATAAAACCGTTTTAATTGTTTTAGATCTACCTAGCATAGAACCAAATGTAATATAAATAAGTAAATTACCAAAATAACTGAAGCCTTTGATTTCTAAGTTATAATTTATTTTTTGTTCCTTGCATTTTACATTTAAACGGCTGAATTTTGCTTGCAGTTCTCCCCGGAAAGAGGTTTTAAAAGTCACTCTAATGGAAATTTACTCCACTTATTATAGTGTGGCAATTAGATTAAATTGGTTTTCATTATTTTTTGTAATCTAATCACCTCAACCAATTATTTTAGCCTGCGCTTTGAGAGTTAAAGCACTTTGTGTTAGTGGGAAGGGCAGGTGAGAGTTTCCGGGAATAAAAATGCAAATAACCATTTGATTTAAAACAATAAAAAAAATAAATTATTTGTAGATATTTTTCTGTTCCTTTTTTGACTCTTGAATGGAGTGGAAAGTAGACTTGCTTTTGTCTCTTCTCTTTCTATAATCTCAATTCTGATAGACATTTAATGATTGAAACATTGCGTTTTTATTATTTTAAATTCTTAATAATCTGACGGTGCAGCCTGAACAGTTTGCCAGAGTATAAACTAAGTGATTCTGTCTCTTCCAGGTTCAGTAATTATTTTCATCTAACCTCTAAGCCAAAGAAGAAAAGGCTACATCTGAAAATCGTTGTACATTGTTGCTGCTATCTTTGCATTTAAAGGAGAAATTAGCAGCTAGGAGCTTTTTGTTAAATGCAGTAAATTAATTATTTGTGAGCAAGTGAGAAAATCTCCATAAATACTGGAGTTTTGCAGATTTTTTCTGTGGAGTCTGTGGGTGTGTGTTGGCTTTTACAAAGTTAGGAAATAGAACGGTGGATGTAGATAATGTAGATAATCTTTTAGCTGTAAGGAAATTATGAAACAGAAGTGTGAAATTTTAAGCTTTTTGCATGGATAGGAGTGGATGTCCCTCCAAATTCTCTGAGAAATTACGAAGACATTGCCTGAGTCTTGAATGCTTGAGTAGAAGAAGTTGGTTGAACTATCAGACTTTAAGCTTCTTTTTCCTGGGATAAATTCGGCTGAAGAAATGGAGCTAAATAATGACAATAATTGGAGGACGACTGGACAAGAGCATCTAACAAATATGATTTGTTTGAAAGGATTTCCAAGAGAAAGTTGCTTCTTTCTGAGAAGAATATGGCAGTATGAAACCAAAATGAAGCACCTCTTCATTTTGGTGGTGGAGAGTTGGTGATTTGGTCTCTTCGATTGACCTTTCACCTCCTGAGTTAAACGTGAACTCCCCTGAATCCGTTTGCATGTGTTGAGTTTTCCTCACAAATATCAGTGGTGTGTGGGGATGTACTTCATTTTTCACGTACTTTTTCTTTTGTGTTTTATCTTCCAGATATACTGTACACGTTACATCTGTTGGTCGAGGTTTGATGCAGTCAGTATGAGATTTAAATGAACATAAAAACTTGCAAAATTACACATTTTTTGCTAGTCAGTCTTTATTTCTGAAGCTCTTTTCCCCAGAGAGATTTCAGATTAAAACATAAAGTGTTGAAATGGCAATGGCAAACAAGGAAATACGCCTATATGTGGAGGGGGAAGCCTGACAATTTGATAAACGTGGAGAATAAAAGGCAAATAAAATATGAAAAACTAAAAAAAATTGAAATTATAAAAAATGTATGTTATCTAAAGCTTGGTAAAAAGAAGTAAATCCATTAAAAGGGTAAAAAATGAGAATGCATTAACATAAATATCAAGTAACATAAATAGCTAGAGTTAAAGAAGGATATTATATCAGACTTTAAGAACTAAAGATAAATCAATAAAAAGAACCATAATGATATTTTGCTGTGGGTCAAAAACAAACTGCAAAATCTACCAACCAAATTTCTGCTTCCTGAAACAAAAACAATGAAACGTTAGAAGGCTGATATTTTAGCTCCTTTAAGCCTCTTTTGGACTTAAATCTCAGGACTGCCGATGTACAGACAGTTCTGATTGTTGCATTTATGCACCAAGAGCCTGAAAATTTTACCAGATGAATTCTTGCTGGTATCTCCTGACGTCATGCGGATGCCAAAATCTGAACCTTAAACTTTGCTTTCCAGGCTTCCAGTTGTCTGCTTTCAGTTTGTGCTGCACGAGATTACCATGTAGGATTTAAATATCGGGACGTTACTAGGCAGATTTTGCTCTGGGCTGAGTCAGCATTATATCATCCGTGGTTTTTTTAGGAGTTTTTTTTGCGTGACTACGCCCTGCCAGGCTCCCTGTAGGGGCTCACAGTGAGGCAGGCAGCTTGACAAGCTGAGCCTCCCCCTCATCGGATGGCAGGATGCCTCCAATATGAGCTGCTGGGTGAATCCTCTCAGCCTGCTTTCTACGCTCTTACCTGGCCCCAATGCACCACTGGTCCTTTTGTAATCGTTTTTCCCCTCCTAAATAACATGTAGCGGAAAGAAACATAAAGTGTAGGTGAAGGTGCTGTGATGTTCAGGGTCACCTGGAGTTTAAGAGATGAGGAAGTATGATATATATATATCTACTCAGCAGCGGCCATTTTATTATTTGTAGAGGCCTGGAGAGTTACTGCTGTGCTTTTCAAAATAACCGTATTGGTGCTTTTTCTATTAAAATCTCCCTCAGGGATTTTACAACCCTCATTGTCTGCGCAAGACAAAATGTTTAGACTTTTTAGGCATTGGAGGAACAGTCACTGACTTAACGCTGGAAAAATAATCTATCAACCATTTTAGCCTGGTTCAGAAACGACAAGACAAAGTTGTCAATCATGTTCGATTAGCATAATTATTGTTGTTAAAGCTGCAATACTTACCTTTAATAAAAAATATACAGTATATTTTGCATATATGTTAAAGGTGTCACTATGTCGCAATAGCTCCTCTTCTCTGTGGTCCTGCTGCCATCTGCAGAAATAGACCGCTCAGTCAGAAACAACCAATCAGAGCCAGGAGGCGTGTCTTAGTGCTGTTAATCATGATCGGGTAATGTTGTGCTAATGGTGGAAAAACAACTTAACATTACAGAAAAACTGTTTATAGGTGTCCATGCTAACGAGCTTGAGCATTCAGTCTCCAGTGTGGGAAAGGAGCTTTACCAGCAAGGTGGAGGGTGAGAGCAGCGCATACACGATCTTAATTGACAGCGCTGAGACCCTCCTCGTGGTTCTGATTGGTTGTTTCTGACTGAGCGATGGCAGTAAAACCACAGCAAGACGGCAGAGAAACTCTGTTTTTTATTTTTTATTTCACAGATT